ACTTTGCATGTAAAGGCCTTTCTGTTGTTAAGGAGGTGTAAGTCACGAGCCCTATCCCTCTCTGGCGTTCATAACGTGTGTCAGTTGTGAAGTGTCGGGGTAAAAGAGCCTTAAAGCCTTTATACTAGGTCAGAAAAGGTAAATAGTGACGTTCGTGTGGCACCTTGCCATAACGTACATATATGTATATTACCTAGATTATTGTATCTATGCATGACTCATTACGCTTCTTTGTCTAGTATACTTAATTTGCTTGAGTACTTGGCCTGGATTTTTTCCCGTTTTATGTGCATTCGTGCATTTTTTTAAATTTTTTCTTACTTTCTCTTTTTTTTTTTTCAACAAGAGTCTTATTAAGTCCCTTTCTCGTTTTAGTTAAGTGCTGTGAAACCCAGACTTTTATTTTCCTACACGGAGGTTGCTGTCCTGATTTTGATGGATGAAAGTTGGTATTTCTGTAGTATCTTGTCTTTATATTTAAGTGAGAAAATGGAACTGATAAACTTGCATCATAAGAAAGCAACCGGTTTGTTTTTGCCTACAGCACCTCACGCGGTGCTTCTGTACCTGTAAAAACGTGCTTGCGTGATTTGAATGTTGGCTCTGCACTTCTCTCCAGTAAAATATGATACATCTGTCAAGACCTCGACAGCAATTTTCTTAACTGACACGCAGAGGCGGTCCCATTGATGCACGCCCTCTTTATCCTCTAATAACAAGCGTTGTGAATGTAATTGACAAGAAATTGTGTAATCACGTTTGACTGGGTTCCCATGCCTAGTTCGATCCGTCTGGATTGGTCTAACTCCCTGGGGAGTCCCACATGATTGCTGTCAACTTTACCGGCTTAAATATGTCTGTCACGCCTACCGAATCAGCTAGGGAGTAAAGATAATTACCCCCCCAACAGCTTTACTAGGCGTAGCGGACATTTGAGACTCCCCAGGGAGATAAATCGATTCAAATATCTGTGGGAATGGTCCCTTTGACTGGGTTCCCATGCCGAGCACGATCTAACAGGATTAACCCATCTCCGACGGGGTTTTCGCTAAATTGCTTTCAGCTTAAGCGGCTTAGATGTCTGGCACGCCTACTGAAGCTGCTAATTAAACCATGGTTAATTACCCCCTTGCGGCTTCAGTAGGTATGAGAGGCATGTAAGTCTGTTTTTCAGCAAATGTGATGTACATGACGCCATGGTGTAATTAACATGGTCGTTAGTTATCAACACTGCCATTGGTTTACTCTGGAAACCCCCCGGTACCCCAACCAACCTAACTCAATGTAACATTTACGACCTTGACATTCTTCTCCAAAATGATGCAATCGCCTATGCAATCGTACTCAAGGATTTTCTTTCTCCTGAGGCGAGTAAATATAAAGAAATAAAAGATTGGGCACAGCCGTCATAAAATGGTTCGTAATCCTAGTTCATTATACAAAATAAAGTGTTGCGTTCTTGGAGAATTTATTTATTTGTTTTTAAACGATAGTTTCAACGAAATATTTATAATTTGAAACACAGGTACTGCGTCTTAACATGTTTTGCGCCAGCTTTTTAGGAGAGTCCCATGGTGGTGGTGGGGGGGGGGGGGCGGTTCACGGGAAATTATATCATCAATTCACAAATATCAGTACATATTCATATCTTACTGATAGTGCTAGTCGGAAATCCTGAAAATCAAGAAATACCGGGTATAATGACTTAGGTTAACGAAGGAGGAGGAATAAAAAAAGCCCCATTCACGAGTCACGGAAGTGGGGTGCTTCACGGATCACGCTAAATAATATGAACGTTTCACGCATCTCAGGCAATAAAAAGTGGCCTTCACGGGTAACGAAAATAGGGGCCTACCCACTGGAACCCTCTTTGAAGTAGGCCTAGTGTGTATTTTTATATGCACGCGTTTGCTTCTAAGAACCATCCGCCGCTGCGAGCAGTGGAAATGGAGGCGAAAATGTCCTATTTCCGCACAAAACACAGAAAACAAGCAAAGGATCTAAAATGTGTATTTATAACTTGTAAAATAATTTAAAAAGTGTAGTATGCCAATATTATTTTATTAATATGATTTAAATTATGCACTAGTAGTTCCTCTATTTTTAATTTAGGCCTACTAACTGTTATCTTAGTCATTAAAAATAGGTCATCTGTAGAGCTACCAAAAGCTACCAAAATTATCAATTTTCTTCAAATTTTCAAAATTTTCTTGGGCCGTGATGACTGATTATTGAGGTAAAACTGGCATTTCTTTTGAATGGACAGAGTTCCTATCAGTCACAGTGATACTTAATATGTTTAGTTTAAAGCTACCTATCGATTAATAAAATGAAAGCTACTTGGTAGAAAGAAAAGAAAACCATTTTTATTTTAAATTTTATTTCAGTAATTTTTCTTTTCTGTCAGTCTATATTTTTTGCAAGGAATAATGGGTGTTCAGGTCGCCTGAAAAAAGACCCAAACATATTAAGTATTATTATTATTATTATTATTGTTATTATTATTATTATCAAGACTATCCCGACTGTTCAGCGCAGAGTTTCAATGCACCGTAAATACAACTTTCTTTTCGGTCATTCACCCAGCTTCATTGTTACGCCTGATATTTTCGGATACCTACCGCAAAATAACTATTAACTTTTTTAACGTTTTTCTCTACAATAACAAGTGGTGTCTGCATAACTGCACTGGTTACAGTGTAATTCTATACAAGTAATACGTCCTTCGCGTGATTTGTTCCCATTTCATCCGCCCTTTTTCTCCTAGCTTGAGGATAAAAGGCCTTGCCATGTTTTTTTTTAAGTAACACAGCAAAGCACTAAAGCCAGATTTTATTACTCTGTGTAACACGGTAACTTTATGACGAAAACCGAAAGCCCTGGACTTGTGTCTTCCTCGCACATGTATTACAACTTCCAGTAACATTTGCAGACATACCGGTAGATCTCCCGGTGACAGCCAATGACAATGCTGCTTTCATGGGTCAATCTAGTAAGCAGAACTTAGGTCATCGTGACATTTTGGGTCAACAGTTTAAAGGAATGATAACTTTGGCGGGGAAAGCATTATAAAACAGATTTTCCTCGGGCACACGTCGCTTTTTTCATACTTCCGACACTCAAAGCTAGCCCACGTTTTTTTATGGGATAAGAACACTTCGTATTATATGAGATCAATATATCTCAACAAATATATTGTAAATAATTCATAGAAATACACTAAATTCTATTTTACCACCGAAACGGCTGTTATCAGAGTTATTCTGGAATCTGTGCTGGCTATCGGACCACCTCACCTCCATAGATGGCTACCCTCTGTAATAATCTCTTAAGTGATGTGGAACGCTTATCACTCCGCAAACGTTACAGAACCTTTTGACTCCACGCGCAGATGCGGCAGGTGCGTCCTCAAATCCAGAGGATACTATACACAATGCTAAAATGTGGCTTTAATTTTTCACTCTGGTGAGCTCATTCAATGGTTATACAATTAGTTAATTTTTTGCGAAAAAAAAATCCTTTTAGAAGTTGAAAAGAGAACATTGGTTCACGGCATGATTTTCTGTGTGACTTCACGCATTGCGTTAGGGGTGACACTTTTCTTACTAGGGGATTATACTTTATTGAAAAAAAAAACAGTCAACAAGTACACCGCCACGAGTGCTGTTTCCAGGTGTGAAAGGAGTGGTAGTCCGCTATGAACCGTAGTCCGACCCCCATTACTTTGTACAGGGGACGGTCTCTCCATAACTTACCCCAATATTCCGACTAATCCTAGCCTGTACAAATCGCATGCGACCCCGGACTAGACCAAGCACCCCTGCCACACCTGTATCCTTAGCAAAATATCAGGCATGCTGCACATTTGCAGCAAGTTCGCTGCAATATTGGTGCAAACTGCAATTTCTACTTGCACATTTGCAGCAAATTTGCTGCACTATGACTTCAAATTAGCAGCAATAATTTATTTCTTGCAAACTCGTTGCCGCAAACTTTCAGCAAAAAGTAGGGAGTCTTGAAATATATATAAGGCTTCATTCACATGCAATGTCTATTTTCTAAATTCTATTTTCTATTCGCGCTATCTTATGATCACGGTCTGTGCCCTGAATATCCCGCCGCGTAATTACTGGCAGCGCGGGCCAGTTACTTATAGTAACTCATGTAACTGGCTCGCGCTGCCAGTAATTACGCCGCGGGATATTCAGGGCACAGACCGTGATCATAAGACATACCGCGAATAGAAAATAGAATTTAGAAAATAGACATTGCATGTGAATGAAGCCTAAGTTTTTTATCTTTCAATGAAGTTTTCCTTAAATTTCTATTAAAATTTGCACTTGGAATAAATAATCCTTTGGACCTTCTCATCATGCGTTATATTAAATGTAGCACCATATGGTATGGGGTGTTTGACATTGACCTATTTTAATGCATCTTTTATTATTTATCTACCATTTTTCATACAAAGTATCCTAGTATCGTATACCACTATACATGTAAGTATAAAATATCAACAGATCTTGTCNCAAGTTCGCTGCAATATTGGTGCAAACTGCAATTTCTACTTGCACATTTGCAGCAAATTTGCTGCACTATGACTTCAAATTAGCAGCAATAATTTATTTCTTGCAAACTCGTTGCCGCAAACTTTCAGCAAAAAGTAGGGAGTCTTGAAATATATATAAGGCTTCATTCACATGCAATGTCTATTTTCTAAATTCTATTTTCTATTCGCGCTATCTTATGATCACGGTCTGTGCCCTGAATATCCCGCCGCGTAATTACTGGCAGCGCGGGCCAGTTACTTATAGTAACTCATGTAACTGGCTCGCGCTGCCAGTAATTACGCCGCGGGATATTCAGGGCACAGACCGTGATCATAAGACATACCGCGAATAGAAAATAGAATTTAGAAAATAGACATTGCATGTGAATGAAGCCTAAAGTTTTTATCTTTCAATGAAGTTTTCCTTAAATTTCTATTAAAATTTGCACTTGGAATAAATAATCCTTTGGACCTTCTCATCATGCGTTATATTAAATGTAGCACCATATGGTATGGGGTGTTTGACATTGACCTATTTTAATGCATCTTTTATTATTTATCTACCATTTTTCATACAAAGTATCCTAGTATCGTATACCACTATACATGTAAGTATAAAATATCAACAGATCTTGTCTGATTAAATTTCATGATATCTTTCGACTTTCTTTTCATGCTACTAGTCTTCTACAGTTAAATCGTGTCTTTTTATAGAGTGCCTACACTAAAAACAAAAATCAACAATGTTTACATTCAAGAGTGGCACGAGTATGCATGTAGGATTACGTACGCTATATGTTTTTTCGTTTATTTATTTTTTTTCTTTGTAGCGTTTCTCGTTGCGTTGTCAAACCGGACGACAGTTAAGGATGGTCCATTTGTAAAATTACAATTTATCATAAGATATACATGTAGAGGTGATCCAATCCATTTGATTATATATTTGTACCCTGCAATTCTGCATAAGAAGGACCTTTGACAAGGTATGGGTGCTTAAATACATTTTGCATTTATTGTTGCTCCTTGCTTTCTCATCCCTCCCAACCTCCTTGTTGTTTTGTCAGTCCGCGTTTGGAAACACCCAACACAACTGTTCTTCAATATGTTGTAACTGCTCATGCTGCTGAATCATCAAATTCAGGAAGTCCTGATGTTGCTGCAACAGGAACAGGAGACATCTATCGGTGGAAGAATCGTCGTCTTCGCTCTAGAAAGATAAGGCTATACATGTGAGCACTTTATATAATACAGCTGAAAACAAATCTTAGACGTATGATGGAATAGAAAACAGAAAAAAATATTGTCTCTGGACGTTATTAGTTTGACGATATTCATTCACAGTTTACTCTTCGTTTCTTTTTGTCGTCTGTTTTTATGTATTTATTTATTTATTTTATTCATTATAAATTTTTGTGTGTGAAATGTTTAAAATTACGATAAGGTTCAGCAGATAGAAAGTGCAGAAAGGCTGAGGTCACGAGTGTGGGTTACATCATCCACAGCAGACGCTGACCTTCCGTCATTCACGTTTCTCTCTCACGTGGCATGAACTCATCTTAAAAGAATTTTGGTTTGAATAAACTTGTTTTTCAGTTGTTCATTCAATTGGCGACGGAAGACGAAATTTGTTTAACTTATGACTAGACAGACGTGTTTACAAGTAAAATTTTACTAGATAACCCCTTACCGCGGTTTGGTTGGAATGAGGACTTGCACAGGTTGCGTCTTTCGCATCGGTGGTTGCCCCAGCTTTCGTACCCTGGTCCATATTTTTGTCGCACGTGCATGTAACCTGATATGAAACACGAAGGTTGAGTTTCAATTCGTTTTGTGTGTGTGTGTGTGTGTGTATGTGTGTGTGTATGTGTGTTTTATCACTTGCTTCGCATCGTAGAACTTTCTCCATACACTCAATTTAGTATATTATTTACATTATTTGTGACTCTGGGCTTGTCAGCAAGTCACTTGTTTTGTAAGATATATACTACCAAAGAACTAAATTTAGAATGTTTCTTTTTTTTCACAAGAAAGAACGAAAAAAAATTTTCTTTTAACGAGTGCGATTTTCAAAGTTATCCTAAAGTAGTTTATTTGTCTTTACCTGTCTCGAGCAAAATGCATGCCAATATTTTGTCACTTCCCGAGGAAAAAAAGGCGCAGTGCTTTTAGGGTAGTATTTGCATTGCTTAAAAGGTAAAAATTTGTAATTGTAATGCAACCTTTTTGCACTAGAAATAAGGGGGTCAACCGCAAACTCTTCATTATCAGTTTGCGTGAAAGTTTTTGTTTAACGATATGGGGAATAAAATAAGATTTCCTCTTACACTATGTAATCCCGACAATTTCTATTTAAAAAAATAACTTCAGGACGAGGAAACAATTAATCAGTACTTCAATTTATAACACGCCTGCACATATCATTGTGCAGTATTTACTCTGGGGATATATTACCATCTCAATGCTTACCGAACCAGGCGTCAATGCATTACTGCCGCTTTCTTTCCCAGTTTCTTGTTCATTTTCTCCACTTTCACGAAAACTTTGCTCCTCTTTTTCCATCCTCTGATTATCTCTGCTATTTCACGGGTACGTCCTCTCCACTCGTTGTTGAGCAAAGGATGGGTGCTTCAAGAGCAGGTTACCCCTCTGGCGCTTTCTGCGAAAATACCGTAGTCTTTACATACAAACCTGTTTTTGTTTTGCGGTTGTTCACCCAGGCCGCCGTCAACGCAGTGCACTCCGTTTCGGTAGCATGTCACTGTGACATAATAGGCCACAGGTACTTTAGTGCATCTAAGTCGTTTTCTTCGCGCAACGAAGACTGAAAAAACTGTCTAGGATCATTGGTGTGGCTTGCATGACTGAGTACAATCTATTGTCCTTAATGTGCGTTTTTTTTAAAGGCAGGGGCGGATTGATACTGTTTCCTGGGTCTTCCGGAAGACGGTCAGATTTAAAAGTTTACATTGACGGGTATCTAGTTTTTTTTCTCTCTCGGAAGACGGTGAAATGTGGAGGATGGATCAACAAAGATAATTTGAAAGACTGTCAGAAAATATCTCTGGATCCACCCCTGAGTGGTGTTATTCAATCTTAAGTGCATCTGCTTTTGATGCTGATTCAGCCGCGATGTAATGTTTGTACGACCGGTGCTAGCTAGAAATGTTAAACTCTCACAATTCTCGGTCGTTTTCTTCCTGCTCTGGCCACATATTCGCATTTATACCAGACCAGCATATTTAACTTAAATCCCGTTTAAACCGGACTGGAGACTGCTGTGAGAACGATTCTTTTGGTATACCCTCGCCAACAGTAGCAGGGAGTCGCCCTGAGGTTGTCGCCCTGGTGTCAGGCGGTCCTAATAGTCTCCCGGGCCGTATATCTCTTGGTTTTCATCATTCTTCGTCTGTCACCTAGAGTTATGCGAATGTGTGGAACTGTTCAAACTACCCGCAAAAGTGTGTGATGTCTGATACTAGGAATGGATTTTACCTGCTGAACATGAGAGAGGAAAAAAGAGTAGGGAGAGAGAGATGGCGGGGAGATTTTGAAAGTTAAAAGGCGGTTAAAAAAAGAAAAAAATGGGTGTCACAAATCAAGGAATACCAAATCCAAATCCATCATGATCACCGAGATTTCAAATACGATCGGTCCGAGTTCTGATTTCCTCATTTCTGAGACTCCTCTCGTATTGTTGATGATGACTCGTGAGAGCGCATTCAGCACAGCGGACATACAGATCCGCGGATCAAATATGGCCGGCATACTTGAATGCTTGTTGCGTAATCTCCGCTGGGAAACTATTCAGTGTCTAATCGGGAATTCATTGGCGCGCCTTCTAGTGGGTCGCCATATTTGATACGGGGATATGTTAGTCCGCTGTACCGAATGCGCTCTGAATTTCGGTCGCGAAGGTCAAAAAAGAAATGAATGACTCAAACATAAGTTTATAGATTGTAATGTTCTTTAAGATTTTAGTTACAATTTTGTGATTGCTAGTTATTTGTTGAAATTTCCAAAAAAATTTAGTGAATTTATTTAATACATTTTAGAATTTAATACGAGAATCATAAATTTTTTGCTATTTAAAATCTAAGGAGTATTGTATTTTTATGTATAGTTATACAATGTAAACAAGAAATTCTAACTGAATGAGAAAGTTGTAGCAAAAAAAAAAAAAAAAAAAAAAAAAAAGATGAAAAGAAAAGAATGAAAAAAAGAAGGGGGAGTCAAAAAAAGTGCCCCCGAAACTACATATTTGCTTCAACAAAGCCATCAAAAAGAAAAATTAACACAAATATCTAAAAAACAAACATAAAAATAGCAGAAAGTAGAAGTAAGAACTCCGGTGTAATGGGGGCCTAAATACGTCCCAACTTCTAATTTATCTGAAAATTAGAAAGGCTATTGAAAGTAAAGACAACCTTTAAGGTGATTAACATTACACAAATTTTAAAACAATCGCGCATTGGGGTAAACGACGATTTTTCCATTAATATTTTTATGTTTAAAAAAACCAATTTATTAATCAAATGAAAACTAAGGTAGAAAGACAATAAAAACGTTTTTTAACTTTAAATTTTATTTCAGTGATTCTTCTTTTCCGTCAATCTATATTTTTTGCAAGCAATAATGGGTGTTGATAGAGAGGAATCAGGTCGCATCTCTCCGAACCCCTCTTGTTGTTTTGTCAGTCCGCGTTTAAAATTAGAAACACCAAACACAACTGCTCTTCAATATGTCGTAACTGCTCATGCTGCTGAATCATCGAATTCAGGAGGTCCTGATGCTGCTGCAAAAGGAACAGGAGACATCTATCGGTAGAAAAATCCTCGTCTTCGCTCTAGAAAGATATGGTTATACACATGATCACTTTATATAATACAGCTAAAAACAGATCTTAGTCGTATGGTAGATTAGAAAACAGAAAAAAGTCTCAGGTCGTTATTAGTTGGACGATATTCATTCACAATTTACTCTATGTTTGTTTCGAGCTGTCTCTTTTTTATTATATGTATTCACTTAACATTTTTTGTGAAATATTAAAAATGGCGACAAGCATCAGCAGATAGAAAGAGAAGCAAGGCTGAGGTCACGAGTGTGGGCTACATTAACAGCAGTTTGTGACCTTGCTGTCATTCTCGTTTCTTTAGTTAACTCACATGGCATAAACACATCTTAAAAGAGTTTTGGTTTGAATACACTTGTTTTTCAGTTGTTCTTTTAATTGGCGACGGATGAGATTTGTTTAACTTATGAGTAGACAGTCATGTTTATTAGAAAAATTTTACTAGATCACCCCTTACCGCGGTTTGGTTGGAATGTGTATGAGGACTTGCATAGGTTGCGTCGTTCTCATCGGTCGTTGCCCCAGCTTTCGTACCCTGGTCAATATCTTTGGCGCACGTGCATGTGACCTGATGAAACACGAGGGATGAATTTCATAATCCTTTGCACATGGCATGGCTATTCACTCAATATAGTATGCTATTCAAATGATTTCATGCATCTCACCTGTGTATTAAGAGAATGTATATTGTGTAACATTATATAAGTATAATTTTTTTCTCTCATTTATTTACTATCATTACTATCTTTCCATATGTATAATATATAGTAGCTAGAGAGCCTCTAAATGTAAAAAACATTTCAGTGCTCAATAAATTATTATTATTATTATTTGTTGCTCTTGGCTTCTCGGCAAGACACTTTTTTGTAATATATATATATATATATATATATATATATATATATATATATATATATATATATATATTAAAAAAAAAGAAATTTGTTATTTTTCCTTTAACGAGTACCGTTTTCAAAACTATCCCGAAGAAGTTCAAATAATTATTGTCACTTCCCGCAGAACAAAATAATCACGGTGCTTTTTAGGGGAGTATTTGCATTGCTTAAAAGGTAAAAATTTGTAAAAAGACCTTTGTGCACTAGAAATATGGGGGTCAACTGCATATTCTTCATTACCAATTCGCGTGAAGGTTGTTGTTTAACTAAATGGGAAATAAAATAAGATTTTCCCTTAAACTATGTACTCACATTATGATGTCGTTGACAATTTTTATTTAAAAAGATAATTTCAGGAGACGAGGAAAGAAACATAAAGTACCACTTATTCGTTTCAATTCCGAATCCAGATTGAAAATTTAATGAAGATGTTAAATTCGATGTTCTTTCAGTTTATCACAGATAGAGAAAGTAAAGAGGGAATTTTTTTCAGGTGATTCTGAGCATGGGGGTCTTAATATGCTAAATATGTCTGACTTTATAACATCGCTCAAATGTACTTGGTTAAGAAGAACTAACACACACACACACACACAGACACACACACAAACACACACACATATATATATTTTTTTCTTTTTTTATTCACGAAAATTAATACAGGACATTTACAACACAATGAGAGACAAAGACACCTTCCACACACCATTCACACACTACAAATAAAGTTCTTACAAATGTTGATTAAAAATACATGTAGAATTTTTAAAATAAAAGAATCTTGGTAGGCCTAGGCTATGACAAATGATCTTTTTTATTCATATAAATATTTTTCTATACTTTCCCATTTTATTCTTAGATCGACTGCCTTTTGAGGACTCAGTAGGTATAAAGACCGAAAATCTACTTTCTTTTGCTTTTCCAAATACTTTTTGCAGGCATTCGAGAGAAGTGTAATTTTATACTGTCTACATAAAGTGAAATATTTCTTTATATGAAGAAGTAGTAGATTAATACCTAAGAGAGGGCTAACATCCAGGATTCCAAATATAAACAGGCAAGGTTGTTGTTCTAATTTAACAGAGTACTGTGTACGTAGGTTTTGAATTTGAAGCAAATAGCTTGAACAATCCCAGAAAATATGCAATAAAGTTTCTTTTTGGTCATTACAGAAAAAGCATCGCTCATGTTCTAACATATTATATTTAAAAAGCATCGAATTCGTGAAGTAAATTCTATGTAAAATTCTAAATTGCAATGTGAGTAGTTTATGATCATTTGTTTCTCGAAAGGGCAAAGCATGAACTAACTTCCACTTTTCAAGAGCTAACATATATGTTCCACTTCTTCAAGCTTTATTTTGTTGTGATATATTAAAGTACATGTTCAATTTCGGAAACACTTACTAAAACCCCATTCCCAGAGAGTAGATCGATCCAAACTAGATCGACCTAACTCCCTGGGGGTTCACGCTAAATAGCTGTCAGCCGAGCGGGCACGAAAGTTAATTACCCCCTCACAGTTTGTAGTAGGCGGGACGGACATTTAAGCCGGATTATCTGACAGTAATCTAGTAAGACTCCCCACGGGGATAGATCGATCTAAAATCTATGGGAATACGCAAACTTATTAAGGACTGCAGTAACTACTTTTGGAAAGATATCATCTCTCAGAAAAACGTAAAAACATGCCTTTATAATAAAAAGAGCATAATCCCACCGGAGCCCATATGGTACAATTATAACTTGTGTTGGGTTTAATCCCGTGTTTATTAAGCACTGGTATACTAAAGGTGTAAAAATTGTTGGGGTTTTTTCGATGAAGATAGGATCTTATCTAAGGAGGAATTTGAAAATAAATTTACATTACCAAACTGCAGTGAACTCATATTCTGTGGTATACGAAACTCTATTAAGCACAGGACCAGGAACAAAACACAAACTGTTTTTATTGAGAA